GAGAGAGAGAGAGAGAGAGAGAGAGAGAGAGAGAGAGAGAGAGAGAGAGAGACAGGCCGGTGAGCAAGCGAGCAGTGTTCCACCTCCATGTGGTCAGAGCTGTAATTATGGTGACCGTGTTCTGCAAACCACAAATCAGTCATGTGGACCAGCAGAGGCTATTTTCTGCCACCACCGAAGTCCAAACATGAATTCACGTGTAGTTAGTTACACATTCATCGCATCACCTTTTATTGTTTTAAAGATACAAATGACATGACATTTGAATGGTCCCTGGCACATCCCACTACAGTCCAAGAAAAGCACTAGGGCCATGACTGGGGCCCACAGTCCTGGCAGGACAGGAGGGCTTCCTGGAGCAGGTGCTATGGATGTGGGAGAGCGGTGTGGGAGGGGGGCCTTGAAGGCTCAGAGGGGGTCTTCAGAAGCAGAAAAGGAGCCAACATGGGAGATAAGAGTACATCAGGCTTCTCCAGAGCACCTGGCCCATTCTGCTCTAAACGACACTGCTGGAGACTGGAGAGGCTGGCGAAGCAGCAGCGTGTGTCCACGACTCCGGTACTGGAGCTGGCCAGGGGTCATAGAAAGAGTGTGTACCTGAAGGCCTGTTCTCCTTGAGGGTCCATAGGAAAACAAGCGTTTAACCCAAGACCTACAGATCAAAATTAATCACTTAGCTAACATGCATATATAGTGCTCAATATGTGATAGGTACCATACCAAGTGCTTTACATACTTCACTCCTGTATTTCTCATGCCAGAGCCCTGGCAGCATAGTGGCTACTCCTTGGGCTGCTAACCATGAGGTCAGCAGTTTGAAACCACCAGCCACTCTGCTTTCTACTCCCATGAAGTTCAACAGTCTCAGAAACCCACAGGGCGCAGTTCTATTCTGTCCCATAGGGGTCGCTATGGGTCAGAATAGAGTGGATGGCAGTGGATGCTTTGATGGGAATTCTCTTGACAGCCAGATGCAATCGATAAGATCACCATCTTCACTTCAGAGTTAAGACAACTGAGCAAGGGAAGCTTGAACGACTGGCCCAAGGTCACACAGCTGGTAATCGAGAAGAGCCAGGATTCAATCCCAGGCCATCAAGTGCGTACTAACCAAAAAAAAAAAAAAAAAAAGGTTTTATTGGCATATACCGGTAACTCATAAATCATACAATTCAGTCGTTAAGAAGAGTTGTACAATCATCACCATAATTGCAGAACATTTTCTGCTTTCCTGTATTCATTGTTATTAGCTCCTCATTTCCCCTACTTCCCCTGCTACACCCCCCAGAAACCATTAATCCAGTTACTCTCTTTATAGCTTTACCTATCCTGGATTTCATATATAGAAAAACATACCCAAACCAAAAACTAACAATAACAAAATAAAAGAGAAAAACCTCAGTTGAAAAAATGGAAACTATTAAAAAAGCAGAACCAATTTCAAATGGATGGAAAGGGAGAGCAAATGATAAGATGTTACATTTTAACCTAACTGCATCTGCCTTGGTCTGCGGCCAGAGGGGATTCCCCGGAGAGGCCTCAGCCAGGCGTCTTTCCATCCCCACCCCCACCCCCCTTAAAGAAAACAAAATTGAAACAACTAAAAAATGGGCCAAAAGGGAGCTGATAAGATGCTACATTTTAACCTAACCCCATTTGCCGTAATCCACTTCAAAATGTTCTTGTCTCATGACCGTGGGCAGAGCGGAGCCACCAGAGGTTTAATCCACGTGTGGACCCTACAAATGGGTTTTGGGCTTCCAGTATAGATGCATGCTCAACAGAGAAATGGAAAACTGGGAGGATGGGGTGTTCCTTTAGGACAAGGCAGAGATGAGGCTGGACAATAAAGCAGGGAGTTTGTGCTGAGATCAGTGGTTTAATCAGAAAGTAGGTGAGATAACAGTAGAGGGTGTGAAGCTGGCGGGACAGAGAACAGTTAAGAGGCCAGGATGGAGGCACTGGCCGCTTAGACTGGAGTGGCCATGGTGAAGAAGATGAAGAAATGCAGTTGGCTGTAAAACGGAGGCAAAACCAGCGGGGAGGTGAGGGCAGGAGGTGCCCGTGGACTGGGCACACAGGAGAAGGGGAGAAGCAGGCCTGCCAGGAAGAGGAGGATTTCAGCGTTGGCCTTGGAGGTGACCTTGGGCAGCCAAGCAGTGTCAAGAGGGCAGTGGGAGGGAGACTCGATGGAGGAGTGGTCAGTACAGAGAAGGCCTCAGAGCTCTGGGAGAGGTGACTGGTCCTGAGGGGATGGGGGAGTTGGGCCTGCCAGTGGCAGTCTTCCTCAGAACCCACCCTCCGTGGTGAGCATTGCAGGTGCCCAGCTTTACCCAAGGGCCAGCTCCTTGGGGGAGGCCTGGTTGGTTCCTCCTGCTAAGCCTTTGGGGGCAGGGAGCTGGAAGGCTCTGGGTCCCTCTTAGTGAACAGCAACTTTGAAGATTGGCAAAGAGTGGGAAGAGCAGTCAGAGATGGGCAGTCACCCCGCCTCCTGGAGTTCCCACTGGATATATGTCACCTTCGGCACAAGGGCCTGACTGGCCTCTTTGCCTCTAGTCCCGCCTCTCCTCCCCCTACCTCTGTCACAACGTGCTGACAGCCTTCACATCCCTCTGAATCAAATTCAGCCGGTGAAGGTGCTCACACAAGGTGTGTTAGGCAGAGTTCTCTAGAGAAACAAAACCAGGACACGTATGACTTTATATATATATGGATAGGTTTACATAGCGAGAAGGAATCTAACAGCTAATTAGTCCACCCAGCAGGACAGAAGGCTCAGTTCCACTCACTTTTGTGGAACAGTTAATATACGGAAGGTCCGTCAACTCACAAGGGCTGCCGGTGCAAGGTCAAGGGAGCAGACAGGGGAGTCTGCCCTCAGGCAAGACAGACAGGGTGGGGCAGCAACAGCAGGAAGATGAGAAGTTGAGGCATAGCAGAGGCTATAGCAGAGGCCAGTAGCGTGGACCATGCGTGGCGAAGCAGTCCCATGATCCTCAAGAAGCATGAAGCAGGTCTCGATGGAACCTCAAGCTATAGCAAAGCATGCACGCACACAAGGCAAGGCCACAGGATCCACGGGTTGCCTCGGCCCACAATAGCCCAGCACAGGGGTTGAGGCGAAGGACTAGCTCAGCCAGCAGTGCACTGGTGCCATCACCAGGGAGAAAGAGGGGAGGGAGCTGGCCTTAGAAAGCCATTTATCTCGGTGGCACTCCAATCAAGCTGAGACCTGATTAAACTCCGCCCACATGTTCCTATGGAAGCCTAGTTGGCACAATAAACCTATCACACAGGTCACCCCAAATCTTCCCTAACCCCCTCTACACTTGTCTAGACCACTCCACACTGGCCTCCCTCACCCACCCCAACTGCCATACTCGGCCCTCCCTAAACTCTTTCTCTGTTACCTTCTGCTGAGACTGCCACTTCCCACCTGGAGCCCATCCAGAATTTGGGCTCTTTCCCCCCCAAACACCCTCAGCCTGTTCCCCTTCTTCTCGTGGAAGAAGGGGAATGGAGGCAGGGAGACACATGTGGCCTTCTGAACCCCAAGGGCTAAGGGCCCCCAGCTGGCCTTTAGCACAGGCAGGTCTAGAGCCAGTGGCGACATGCAGGTCACCTCCACACAGCCTGGGCATTTCCTGAGGGTGCAAACCCATGGCTCTCAGCCCAGCATCCCTTACTAGGAGCACAGTACGGGGAAGCTCACAGTGCCTCATGGATGGAGTGGCCTTCTGAAGCCAAAGCCGTAGTGTGAGGAAATAGTCCAGGACATGGGTTCCCAAACTTACTTGGCTTACCACCACCCCCTTCCCAGAAAAAAAAAAAAGAAAACTACTTCAGTGCACCCCCACCCCCATCCCTCGGCAATTAAAAACGTTTGTACTATAACCTATAATCCAGGATAAAGTGTAGGCATCTGCTTTTGCAGGCCCCCTATTGCTCCAGTGCCCTTCAAGGGGCAGTATTGCCCACTTTGGGCAACACTAGTCTAGGGGCTTAACGGGCCCAAGACCCAGGCCATCTGCAGAATCTTTAAATATTGACCGTAGGAACATGACTTCCCTCACCAAACTGGTGGGGTGGCTGGAGTGTGGCCAGGAAGTCACAATCTGCCTTTGAGAAATGCTGTTTGCGTTCCTGGTCACCCTCCTTAGGTTCAGTCCTGTCTGGCCGTATTTCAGTCAAAGGTGCCACACAGGCATAGGAGGTAGTTAGAGGCCTGGGATCCACCTCAACTGGCTCAGCATCTTTCCTCATTGGAGACAAGAGTGAGGTGATTGAATGAGCGCTTCTTCCCAGCGCATGGAAGCCACACTTTGGTAGAAAAGGGGAGTCCTTCAGGCTCTCACGTTGCCAGCTCAGCATCTCCCTCCTCCTTGGCTCTGCTCTGATCTGCTTCTACAGTTCATCTTGAGTATTTTAGGGACCTGAGGAATTCACCAATTGACTGTGTTCCTCAGCCATCTCCTGTTCCTCAGAATCAGGATCTGCAGGGCAGAGTCTACTGATCTGCACACTTCTTAAGGGATGGTTTAAAAAGAGGCGGTGGAGGGACAAAACCCCACTGGTAGCAGTGAGGCCTGCATGCTCTCTCAGCTTCCGGCTACATAGGAGACTCCTGTAAACCTCCTGGATTCGCTGGACCTCGCTGTCCTGATCTGTTTAATGGTGACAACCCCGGAAACCTCACCTAACTGGCAGGGTCCTTGAGGCTGCAGATGTAGAACCAGGAAAGAGGAAGGAGGCTCAGCTGGAGAAGAGACCTGCCTGCCCAAGGTCAATCCCTGCTTCATCTGTCTCCACGGTACCAGGTGCTGGGGGTTCAGCTGGGAACAAATTGTTGGGGGACGATGACATTCTCATCAACAACGAAACCAGGAAAAGATCCAGATAATCACCATAAGGGAAATAAGTTGGGGGAAATAAGTTGGGTTGCGTGCGCCAGAGTCGGGCAAGGATGGAGGGGGAGAGGCCTGCCCAGGAAGGGTCACTCCGGCAGGCACCCGGTTGGCCAGGAGCTGCCTGGGGCGGCCCTGGAGGGCCGTCACAGCCTGCTGGTGGCAGAGCCTGGAGGCTCCCCTGGGCCCAGGCCAGGGCCCTCGCAGATCCCGCGGGTGCGGGCCTTTGTTTCCCTCGTTCCCTCGGCCGCCTCTTCCGACCCCCGGCGCTGCTCTCTCTCTCTCTGACCCCGAATAACTTGTTGGTTTCCCTGAA